TATCCTCAACTTATTTCACTTTTTCATCTTCCTCCTCTAATAGCATAATTTATGCTTTATAATGATTTTGCGCGTGTCCTTTTTGGTAGCAAAATAAACAACCTCTTTTGTTCTCTTAGAAGTAGTTCATTGGTGATCTTCTTGGGTGGGGGAATTAGAAAATGAAGAGCCAACTCTAGCAGTAAACCTTTGGATTTGAAATGAGGAACCTGGGTATGTGGATGTTTGACACCGAGATCTAAATGCAGATGATGTTTTCTTATATTTTTCAAGAAGTAAAGCATTGTGAAAAGCATCTTCAAGGGTATGGAAACCTTGAAGCTCAACCTCATTTTTTATATCACTCCTAAAACAAACTATGAATTTATTGGCTAGTTGTCAATCTTGATCAAGGTAATTGGTCATAGCCACAAGGTCCTCACATGTGTTTATGTAGTCCACTACCTACATGTTCCCTTGAGCAGCTCATGCAGTTTTTTTTTCATGACTCCCAGCACAGTATTTAGCCCTCGGTATTTTTTTTTCATCCATTTTAAAAAGGTTCTACTAAGCCTTGCCTCTTTAGCTAAGATGATATTCCAATAAATTTTGGCATGACCTATTAATTTTATCTTAACAAAGGCAGTTCTTTGATAGTCATCCATTTAATATCAATTAAAAAACTCATTCATTTGGGTGAGTATATCAGAGGTGGCTGGAGATGCAGCAACATATGCAGATACAACAAGCTCAAATGTTAGAGGAAATGCGAAAGATGCGAGAGCAGATGAGTAGTCGGAGTACAGCATCATGAGGAGACTGAATCAGAGTAGATGTTATTTATTTTACTGATGTGGACATCTATATTTATGTGTTTTTGGACATGTTTAGTTATTTGTTCATTGGACATCTTGTTTTTTTTTTGTATTATTTGATATTTGTTGATGATACTCTTCTTGTTTATATTATTGCTTAAATGTTTATGTTTGATAATGTAATTGGTGATGTTCTTGATTTGAAGTGGTTGTATGAATGTATATAGTGTTGTTGTTTTATTTTCTTTGCAGGTTTAATTGTGAAAATCAGTTTTAAAAGGAATGTTGTTTTTATTTTGTTTATGCTACAGATTTTCGGCAGAATTTGCGACGATAACGTAAGCCAACGGAACGACGTCTATTAGCCGGCGTATTATGCTCCAGTAATTCCAATGTATACTTTCCGCCGGAAATACAGGCGTATCTTTTTTCGGAATACAGCAACGAAAAAGGCGTCGACTGATTTTTTTTTTTTTTTGTCGGCATTTCGTCGGAAAAACCACTAGAAATGTTTCTGGCGTAAAATTTCGCCGGTGTTTTCTTTCCTACGCGCGAATTACCGTCAGAAAAATTTGCGTCGGAAATGTACCGGAAAGGTATTATTTCCAGCATTTTTTTGTTGTTACCAGGTATCCGCCGGTAATATCGCATTTTCCTATAGTGATATTTCAAGAAATCTATTAGGATTAAACACACCATCATAGGTTTTGTGCTTCTACATTGTCCTTCTTCATGGGACAAATGGTTGGACATGTAAGTTGGTGCTGCTCAGGGCTTACAAGTGTGTAGTTAAACTCATAATTATCTCTTGTAATTTTTGGAAGGTTTCTTGATTTAGTAAAGGTAACCTCTGGCCTTGTAGATAAATTTTTCACATGATTAATGCTAGTAAATTTTAATGACATGTTGTATGTACGGTGAATATACTATAAATGTAATACATGGGGAGGAAAAAAATTATATTTTTATTAAAACATGAAATCAAAGCTTGCTGTAAATTTCGAAAATATGCTTAAAATGTTGTTTTAAAATTTTTAAATCCTTCACTTTAATGTAAGGAACAATTAAATTTGAGTAACATAAGATTGCTTGAAAAAATTTTCAATAAAACCTAAGCTTGCAATGTGTACGTCTACTATTGATAAGAACCTAGGTAAGTGAATCACTCCCTTTCTAATATGATTTTATCCTAACAACATAAAGGTAAGATAAGTTAAAATCGTAATTATATTGGCACATATAAAATTTTTACTTATTTAAAATTTAAAATATAAAATCTAAATTTATTATTTCCTATCCACAACACCAAATCAATCACCCGCACTTAATGTCTCATTTATTGAATATTCTCATTTTCATTTCTCTTTAGCGGCTACAACTTTGAATTCACAACAATGCCCGATGTCATCTCAACATCGACGTCTGACATTGTTACAACATCAACTTTTCAAAATAATCTCCATATCAAAGTCTGACATCGTCTTTACATTAATACTCGATGCTAGCAATTTCTACACCCACAACTTGACATCTCATCTTTGTCCAAAGCCTTCTCAACATCGACGACCAACGTCCTCTCAACATCGAGGATAAATGCCCTATTAACATTGGCATCTAATATTTGCTGCATAACATCAATGCCCAACTCTCGACAAAATTGTCATCTCCTCTCTCGATGACTGATAAACGACATCAACGCCCGACTCTCGACATCCTAATATTAATCATTTTAAGCACAAATTCTAATTAAATGACTTATTATTTCTAAATTATTTTTAAAATTATACTTATTCATTTTTATACACTGTTTTTAAAATATAATATCTATAATACTGTGTCTAACCCGTGTCCATGTCCAATATTTTCAATAATTGACGTGTCCCGTGTCGTCGTGTCCGTGTCTGTGCATCATAGCTCTCCACCCTAGGCTCTGATAATAACTTTAGTGTGGCCCCAATTGGGTTTAGGCTACTTGGGTTGTTATGTTTTAGCTTGTGAATCTTCCAAAATATGTTAGGAATGATGTATAAGCCTTCGGAAGGTTGGAAATTTGGTGGTGTTGATGTTCCATACAAAGGAAGGTGCAATGTAAGGGTTTTGGAATCTGGATGAATTTTGACAATATGACTGTTTTAAAGGCTTCAAATGGTGGGAACTCCAAAACTTGAAAATACTTGAAAATGGAAGAAGAGTACCTTAAGAAAAATCCTGTAGATTCTTATTAATTTTCAAGGAGTTTTGATTTGTCAGATGAGGGCTAGAATCTAACTCGGTCAAATTTTGTCCAAGGTTGGCTAAGAGATTTAAGTAGGATTTATGATGGGATTTTATGGGGAGAATGTTGGGGAATCAATGTGGGATAGTGAGGTGGTAAGTGGTAACTGTATAAGAGTTCTACAACAAAGAAAAAATTTTAATTAAAAAGTACAAGCAATTCCTACTCACCAATATAGCAAGGTTAAAAAGATCACCAAACCTCCTTAAGTTTGAAGGCCGGCCACCAAACCTCCTCTTCTCAAGAGAAACTCCAAATTTTGCAAGCACAATGAAGTTATTTTTCTCTTCATTCCATCAGGCTTAAATAATTTCACATATTACATTTGAATTATATAAAAGGAAGGAAAAGAAGAGAGGGGAGGTGGCCACACAAGTGTAAGAGAGAGTGTGTTGTAACTTTCAATAACTACCATCTCCTTGTCTTGGCCGGCCAATGAAGTAGAGGTTCATATTTATTTTGAATTAATTCATTCAAATAAATATGTGTACATAAATTATCATCACATTCCCTCCAAGATTTAAAAATCCAAAATTCAATTCATCAAAATTTTGAATTTTACATTTTCACTTTGTAATTGGTAGTACTATTCAAAATCATCATAATAAAGTTTCTTAAAATATTTAACACACACATAAACATAAAATTAAAATTATATTAAATTGCTTTGCTCCTTATCCTTAGTCCTTGCATCTTCTTAGATTCCTTCTTACCTTGAGCTTTGATGGTTGATCTTTTTTTTTTATGGGCATCAAATATTGATTAGATAATTGGATTGAGGGCTGCTCTTTATCAATAGAAATGAAAGAGCAGCTTTTTGATGTTGCATGGCATTCTTCTTCCTTGGTGAGCACACAATACTTCAATGATTTGGGATGACATATACAATTGAAAAGAAATATTCCTTCGATTCCATCTGATGATAACAATCTTCTATATTCTCTCATCAATGATGTTCACTTACCATTTTCCAAATATAATCCATGATAACCCTGCAGTTACCAAATATGAATAGGTTTCTGGTCAACCTAGTTTGGATCTACGTTATATTTTATATGGGTTTTGATGGCTGACAGTTCACCAGCCCTTGGTGAATAAATTTGCTAAAGAACTCGAGCTCTGGGATGCACTGGATCAACAGTTCACTTCTCATCATGCACAGCTCACCGGAGGTCGCTCGAACTCCTAATCAGAAGGATATGGAAAGCTAGAGAAGTTCAGGGACTGAAAGCTCCCCCTTTGGGGAAGCATGCACGTATTAAGGAATTCAAAACACTTCATAAGAGGAGATTCCAAAGACTTCCCCTTTATTCTATCTCCCCTATCTCTCCTCTCCCTCACTAAATTCATATGAAAAGTGGATTCCAATCACTATCTTACCCTCCCTGAAATTCCAATCTTCTACAGCATTCACGCAATAAAGCCCGCACTATTGCAACAGGTCCAATCCTCTCCTTTATTTTCACAAACTCTTCACTTAAACTCTAAAGAGGGAAACCAAGCTAATATCAAGGGCAACAAGCGGATGATGATCAGGAAGAATTCATCACCAGCAATGTTAAATTTGCATCAAAATTATTACATAAAAAATTCTCATACAATGTTTATATAATATATGAAAAGGACATCTTTGAATATCACATGGGTTAACTCAAAAGCAGGCTAACAAAATCTTAACTTGGATAAGCCAAACTGTACTGCGTATTGCAATGGCGTAACAAAAACAGAAATGTGTGTTGCAATGACCTCTCATTACAGCTACTATTTGATTAATTCAGACAAAATCTTATAAACGGATTCATATTTGGAAAACGAAAGAATAAAGTTTATCATGATGGTCAGTTATTTTGTATGGAATGTACAAAACCGAGTTGAGATTTTTAATGGAGCTGTGGAAACCAAAGAAGGGCTTGCAGGTAGTGAAAAACATATTCAGAACTGATGGGCTTCAACTTTCATTGAAACTAACCTCATTTATTAATGTAACATGTTACAACTGAAGAAGATCTTGGAATTGAGCGCTTGAGCACCAGGTGACTTTTTTTTTTTTTTGTCTCGAAGAGAGTACAATTTGGCAGCTAGGCCATGAATTTACCTGCTCTATCTTACAATTACAGTATATACTATGAAGTGGACCTTGAAGATGGCCCTGCACTTGAAGATAAGCTCCTCACAGCTACCTTGACTGCACCCACAGCACCAAGCTGCCTGATCGATGGGCTCAGCCCATGCTCATCATTCTTCAATCCCTCATCTATCTGAACTCCAACATAAAATGCAATCTGCCCATGGAACATAGAAAAGTTAAAAGGATGCTTCACTCTCAACTCACCAACTTCATGTGCGCAACAGTGGAATCAGATAAAATATTTATAGGGAATTTACCTACTGAATAATAAATCACAGTCCATTCGTAATTACTACTATAAAAACTAGTCTACTAGAACCAACCCGGTAAGAATTTTGTGTTTGCCCACATAAAAGATAAATATTTGTGATGTTTGGATTGTTAAATGTTTAATTAAGTCTAAAAGATTTGGAATTGAATTAGAAAGAATAGAAAATGTTCAATGAAAAAGTTTATTGAGAGTGTTGCGGTGCTATGCTTGGCATTGCTATGGCGTTGCCCTCTCTGTATGGAGGGGAAGGTACTTCGGCAGCGATGCTGGAAGTAGGTGCTGCAGCGTCAAGCCCTCCATCTACAGCATCTGAAAATTGTATGGAGGGGAAGGTACTTCGGCAGCGATGCTGGAAGTAGGTGCTGCAGCGTCAAGCTCTCCATCTACAACATCTAAAAATTTTGCACCGAGCGCTGTGGCGCTGTGGGAAGGAGCGCCACAATGCCGAATCGAAACTTATATTTTTAAATAAATATCTAAAAGCATTTCATTTAACCCATTCCAATTGCCACTCACCAAAAAAATTGGGAGAGAGGTCGAGAGAGAGGATAAGAGAAAAAGAGGAGAGAGAAAAGATAAATTTAGGATTTGGATGGCACAGAGTGGGATTCGTATGTTAGGCCAGTTTTGGGAATTGCTTGTATTAAGATAGGCTCCTAATACCCTATTTCTGATTTCAATTTTGAAGTTTGTATGGGTAGATTTGAAAAAAAATGTGGTTTTATTAAGTTTAAGAAACTTTCTATCATGTAGTTTTTGGTAAATTGTACAATACTTCTTTCTGATCATTTTATAGTAAAAAAGTAAATTTATACCAGTTGACTTTGTGTATGTAAAATATTGAGTATTTTATAAAGTATGTGGCATTTTTGAAGGTATCAAAAAATCACACGACTTGCCAATCCGATCCAAATCCGAGCCAAAAATTTTAGGTTCAGGTTGACCCGTTAATAAATGGGTAAGTTTCGGGTTAGATTTTTTAACCCATTTATAAACAGTTCAGATTCAGGTTGACCAGCAAGCCCATTTTTTGACCCAAAAATGACATGCTTAATATTATTTTTTACTTGTAAGTATAATCTTCTTGTTTTTAATCAAATGTTCTAAAATTTATAGTCAATAGGTTATTAAAAAAATAAATAAAATGGGTTAACAGGTCAAGTTGGGTCATTTAGGTTGCTAACAGGTCGAATTCATGTTGGTATTTTTGACTCATTTATTAAACAGGTCTGGTTCGGGTTGACTGAATTTGAATTAAGTTAATTTCAGATTGGACCAGAACCAGACTCATCAACCTGTTTCAACATCCCTAACACTTCTAGCATCGACTACAGTGCAATCATTACTTTAAAATAATATTTTAAATAACCTCTATGAATAGCTCTGAATGGAAAATGTTTGAGTATGCATGCAAATTTTACATATATTCTCTCCTGAAATGTCGTACATGTGGCAATTCATGTATGTCCAGGTTCATGTTAAATGTTGTATATGTGTATTAGACATGTTAATATATGCATGTGCATATCATGTTCATACGACGGAAGTGATGATCTGAGAGATGATCAAGTACACTACAAGTAATACTATAAGGGCCCTTACATGTATATGTTTTTGTATCTATTCTTTTTGCTCAATCGGCCTTGTGCAAGTGTGAGTTGACCAAGTCAAAGTATAAGTGAAATTAGAGTTATAAACAGGCATCGGGATATGTGCATATCATATTTCATATATTGAATTACAAGTTTATCAAGTAATGTATATTGACACCTATATTCAAAGTCAAGTTATACAAAAGATAAAGTTTCTGATGTTAACATTCAAGTTCAAGTGATTCTTAAGTTACATTATGGTTTATATTTCTGATGCAATTTTTCAAATTCAAGTAATGTTTAAGTTCAGAAATATTCTGGGATAATGCATTTCAAATATATGTTCAAGCCCAAGTAATCTATATGTACCATTTTGATAAAATTAAGTGTATAAGTATAAGTAAATCACATGTTAATATTTTATGAATGTTAAAGTCATCTTCTTTTCCACCCATAAATATTATCCAATGTAAATTGTGAAATCTTTTATTATTTTGTGTATTTATCTAAATACAATTGTAAACTTTGATTCCTTCAATAGGACTTGGATAGCCTACTGAGCAAAAAGTTTGCTCATTTTGTTATTTACATGTTATTTCAAGAAAGGGAAAAGAGAAAGCAGAAGCTAAGTAGATTAGAATGGGTTGAAATCAGGGTCCAGTTCGGGACAAGTTCAAAGTTAAAAGTATTTATTTTGATTAATCCAATCAATTAGTTACATATTTTGGATGCACTGAAATGTATTGGATTAATGTATATAATTCTTTTGGAGTGAAATATGAATGCAAGTTATATCTTACTTTCTAAAATTTTGGATGTTTAGTGACTATAGTGTATGCAAATTTTGATAATGAGATAAATAAAATTAGGCACAATTATTCCATTAGACATTTGGCGCATGACACCATGTCATTCACAGGGATTTCTATCTGTGATAAGCGATGATTCACCATTCCTTACAGCAAGGAATCTCCTTTAAAAATTATTGTCCAGAGGAATCCTACAAATTGCAGCGGTTTAAAATTGTTGAACTCAATAAGCATCCATACTTTTACTTCTAGGAAGAAAATGATGTATGCTTTCAGCTTTCCAAAAATTATACAGTTGACGGATCTTTGTTGTTTTAAGAGCGTAAATAAGTGAACAAAACACTCTCAGCAGCGCTTATACAGAAGAGTATATCAAATTAAACCAAACTAAAGTTATCAAAAGATGATAGGAGTTTAAGTTCAAGGATGGGACCTTGCCAGATGAATTTCGAACAGGTGATATATGTAGAAGATTCCAGAAAGAAGTTCCATCTTTCCTGGATTTTAATTTAAAAAAAAAACATGATTAAGGACCCAAAAAGAGTTAATACTTTTCAAGCTGAGAAAATTGACTAGGTCATGCACCTGTAATTCAGAATCCGGACTGTGCAAGCTTTTTCGGCAAGAATACTTTCTTTTATCTGCAAAATGGAATAAATATATTATATCAGATAAAAAGAATACCAAGAAATACAAATCCACTAAATGGATGACCTGTTTTTCTGCCAATAATACCTGTTGCAAGGCCTCAACAGCTGTGTTAGGTCCGCCTAAGAACCTGCAATTCCTTCCTAAAACTTCATCTCTAGTGTAACCTGCAGATGTAAGAATAGTTGTTGACTAAGCCTAATTATTCTTAAATTTATCTTGAAGCTATCACATAAAATTTACTTTTGTCGCAATAGAGAATTCCTTGTTCTATAACATCACACCACCCATTCTTCTTTCAACCCGGTGCTGTGAGAATAGAACAGGTAAAAAGGTTGACCAAGCAACACTAGCCATGATTTCTTCCAAGAAAAACCCAGTCAACTATTAATTCACACACAAAAGGTGCAAAAGAAAGAGTTTGTACTATTACATTGCAATAATAGAAGATATCCATTTAGTTTACGACTAACAATTTGAGATTAGTATCTCATCATGAGCATCAAAAAACATTGATCGTAATTTGATTTTCAAGGCCAATTGACCCTACCCTTCACTTGGAGTACATGTGCAATAGGTTCATCAATCCAAGAACATAATCTAGAGTTATTAATATAAAACTCACGTTTCATGGCATAAATTTACCAATATTTCTAATTTAAACAAAGGGAGAAATCTGAATTTTATTGTCACAGTCCATATATTTTTTTCCCAAGGATGCAGGATGCATGCATGTTCGCGGCACACAGAATAACCAAACAGCTTTAAAATGAAGTGGATAACAATGCAATAATAAGAATTGATGACAATATATGATTACCATAGAGATTATTAGGCTTATTTTGGGACAGCTTTTTTATTGTTTTTGAAAGCAGCATTTTAGTATAAAAATTTTATGTTCAAGAATTTTTTTACAAAAAAATTGCTTTAAAAAGAAGTAAAAAAAGCTATCCCAAAGAAGCCATAATATCATTTTCTTTACACAAACCAGAAAATAAAGCGTGAAAGGGAAGAGGGAAGCACCTGTCAGACTTAAGAAGGTGTCACTAGCATAGACGATTGGCATATCAGGTAAAAGAGGATCAGTCCTGTAAGACAAACTATATATCCTTCAACATTTCAAACAATGGAAAAAGACAGTTGTATATTGATATATCCTAGCCCTACAACAAACACGTTTTTGCAAAACTCACAATACAAAGCTCTGTTTGATTCTACCGAGAGAAGTGCACAAGGATGAAGACAGAGAAGCTGTGCCAGCCTTGGGACTACATCTATTTCCACAGACAACTCTGCCCGTAAGCTTACTATACTGCGCCAGCTTCGATAGTATCTCTGTAACGCCATCTACTGCTTTCTGCTTCTCTCGATCACCAGCCTCCCTCCGCTCTTCCCCCTCCAAGCCTGCAATCGACTAGATGAGATAAAATTCCTCAACAAAATCAGCTCAATGCAGTCAGGTAACTAAACGGACAGCATTCCAACGGATCCTTCGCTAAAACACCGTGTACCTCTATTATCCGAATCGTCATATGAATCGAAGGGAAGACTACACCGGAACTCTAGATCAGAGCGCACCTCATTCCTACACGCCCCGAACAATAGTCCTCCCCTCACCGCAAGTCGCGTGCAGCTCAAAACCCGCCGAGGGATCGGTACTTGCACAGACACAAAGTGAACTAGCCTGCCATCGTCTCTTCCAAAAACCGGACAAAGCTGGAATAGAATCCAGTACGACGTCCCATCCTTCCGATAGTTCAATATACTAATCTGCATCGCCCTCTCCTCCCGAATCGCCTCCCTAATCTCCATCACCGACCTCCGGTCAGTATCTGGGCCCTGAAATATCCTCCCATTCAGGCCCACGACCTCCTCGCGTGAAAAACCCGATACCGAAAGAAACCCGCGGCTCGCAAAGACGATTGGGTGGCCTGCTATGTACGGATCGGTGATGAGGAAGCTGAGATCATGCGGCAGATCGTCGAGGGCCTCCATAATCCATTCCGAATAGCGGGAAGTGAGGGATTCAAGAAGATGCGTCTCGTTGCTTCCCATCGCCGCTACCGCCGCCGCCAACGGCGATGGCAAACTGCTCTTGCCCCGCCCAGCACAACACTCGTCAACACCGCCGATCGGAAGGCAGCAAAATGCAACCATATGCTCGTAGGGAGCACTGAGATTGGTGAGGAAATCTCCAATAGAAGAAGAACGAGAGCGCGAGGGCTTACTTCGAAGCTGCTCAATCGGTTTAAGGATCTGATTAAAGAAATAAGCCGACCGTTTCGAGGCGGTTTATCCGAAAATTCATAAATCTATTTATTTATGTGCATTAGAGCAGTCTGTTCACTGTTTAATTGGTTGGACAAAGCCACCTGACGCTTCATGCTCATCCAATTAGAAACAAATTTTGAGCGGATATTTTAATTAAAATTTAATAAATAAATTTTCTTAAGAATTTATTTATTTTACTATCTATATATTATATTTATAATTAAATTTTAATAAGAATATTTCAATTCATTTTTCTCCATCCAGTTATTAAGATTTTATTCAAAAGTAATATTATTCATTTTTAATATAGTCTTATCAGTCATATCAATAATTAGGCGTCATGTAGGATTACTCTCAATTATTTTTTTTTTAGATATAATAAAAAAATTAAATATATAAAATAATATTATTTTTATTTTATTGAATATCTTATATGATGCTTGAAATCCGGTGTCAGGAACAATGGCATTGTCGATGATGGGGCCGATAGTGATTCCAATGATGATTACAATGACTATTAGCAAAGAGGCAGAGTGTAAGAGAGTCAAGTCATTTATGAGTTAGTTAGGCTAAATAAATGGCTCGTTAGTCAAGCTTGATAAATTAATAATCCAAGCTTGAGCCAACGTTGATTTGACTCATTAGCTCGCAAGAGAGCTCTTTTAAAAAATATTTAAATAAAATATATTAGCATTCAAGGTTTTAACTACAAGGTTGTTAAAAAATATTTAAATATTATATTCTATTTTTTATATAGTTTGTTTACTTAGTTTTCTTCTTATAATTTTATTTATCATTTATAATATGAATCGCTTGAATCATAATAGTATTCTTATCTTTCATAAAAGTTAAAATAGAAGCTAAAATTAGTAATATGCAAAGATGAGGATACTCAGCGGTAGATGGTTTTACTCTTAGAGACAAATGTAACATGTATAGACGTAAAAAAGTTGGAGTAGCTTGCGAGTTAGGGATTACGTGAGCTGAACCAGTTTCGCACGGATTGCTTGCTCTCAACTGTTAATGAGTTTCACAGTCGATGCTTATCGAGCTCTCGAGTTCGGAGCAACGAGCATATAATCAAGCATTCAAAGCTCTTCTATTTAAACGAGCCTTCAGCTAGCTTAGCGGTTCGAAAGTTTTGTTGAGCCACTCGATTAATTAAAACATAATTCAAAATTAATTTTAAATAAGTATTGTTAAAATACTTTTAACATTTTTAAACAATTGTAGTATTAAAAAAAAATAAAAATCGAAGCTTCGTTAAATGAGCCTTGAGTAGAGCAACTCGAGCTTGAGTAAGAATGAACAAGCATATCCAAATTGAGCAGAGTACTTGAACTTGAATCAAACCATTACACCCCTAGCTCCAATGGCATATAAGAAAAAGAGAGTCACTTAGATGGTTTTGTTCACAATAATTATGATCGGCCATTCGATTGCTCAGTTAGGATGAGCATATGGTATTGGATTTGACCTATGTTAAAAAAGGTAGAGACATACGTAAAGAGTTTATTTGGAAATAAAAAGTATTAGAAATGATTTTTTATTATTATTGCATATTAGAATGAAATGTTAACTCTTAAAATGAACACAAATGGAGAAAAAAAAAAGATTTAGTATAACTAACCAGCATGTGGATAATGCTGATATGCTTGTGTTATTGTAGTCTTATTAAGAATCGAGGCTGAACTCCTGAGCGGCTCAACTCATTGAATAAAGCTCGAGCTACAAGCTAAGACTGATTAAGTTAATCAAATTATTAAACTTAAGTCAAAAGTGAATCGAGCTCAATCAAGAATTCATGGTTAACCCAGGAAGATACAATGAATACGATCGTACTCCAAAAATTAGCTGATGCGGCAGAATCTGAGGTAAAAGCTAGTTGGGAACTAAAAATTAATTCGGGAGCATGATGAACTGCCGATGCAGCGATCTACACAAACGAAGCGTCTCGAAGAACAAACCAAGACAACAAGATCAAACCCAATCCGAGCCCAAATAGTCCGAATTAAGGTTCAAAGCGCTGTGAGAAGGTCAAACCGAATTTGAAGTACCAAAACGGTCTTCCGATTTTGACGAGGCAACTCTGAATCGAACGGCTCGACGAGACGAATCCCAACAGGCCTAAGATCACATCGAATTCCGACATCATAACGGCTTCAATATCCAACAACGTGCATGATCAAAAGGATCGATATCGGCCGTCCATTCAAACACTCCCTGTTTGCCCTTGATCTCACAGCATAATTTACGGGCTGCCACTCCAAAAAAAAACTTAAAATAGAGCCCTCATTCTACACAAAGGACCAGTAAAGAGAGAAGAAGAAGAGAAGGAGAAGGAGAAAGGGGAATTATGAGATTCCTCACTCTTCACCACCAACGCGGAGTTTTCCTGCCGCCTGAAGACGCGCGAACTCTGCCGGATTTTCAGGAAACGCAGGAATTCGCAGAATTTTGTAAACTTCCTGGGAGAAACAAAATTGTTATTATGATTATCCCAAATGTGGGACGAATCAGCAATCTATAATCTGCAAAATCACTAGTGGAACTTTACAACTGGGCGAGGCCCGTGGTTTTTCCCTTTTTTTCGCTTTCCACGTAAAAACATTGTGTTCACTTTCTCTTTTTGTTGTGTGTGAAATTACTCGTGCAAACGTAGGACGCGAATTTACAAACTCTACCGCCGCGTATATTCTCGCACGCAACAATACTCAATAACAACGCGTTGGCAACGAGTTCCAGTTAAAAAAATACTGGCGATGATGACTATTGATGGTGATGAGAGCTGCCAGCAACAACAATAGTGGGGGCAGGTCGTTTGTAGCCGCCTCATATTATTTTTTATTTTTAAATAATTAAAAATACTAAATATTATTTATTCTTAAAATAATTTGATTTTTTCAAAATTAAAAAATAATAATATAAGAAACAAATATCTTCATAAAATATAAAAAAGACAAAACCGACCCTTAGCTTAGGCTAAATCTTATCATAGTAATTCATACCTTAACGTAACTAAAGCTTTTGTTCCTGTCCAAACTTCTGAGAAAAATAATTAAAAATAAATTACAAGTCAGATTAATTCGAGCTACGTGTTGAAGACCGTATCATATATTTCTATAATTTTAAATATATTTTATAGTTTTTTTTTACACTTAGGTCAATAGATAAGAACGTAAAGACTTATAACTTTTTTTTAATTGAATTTCAAACTAATAAATTATTAGGGAAACAAACTTCCATTATTGAGAGAGATTATTTTGTGCGGTGTTCAAATGACATCGAAAGCTATTCGATTGCCATGTCAATCCCAATGTATTGTGAATTAGATGAATGCACGTCCAGATTAGCCTCTAGTGAGTTGAATACATTTAACATGTAATGAATTTTTTCACGTTGTAGAAGATTTACTATATCTTTATATTTACTAAATTATGTATATTTTGTTTAAATTATTAATTGCTATAAATATTATTTTTTTTTTATTTTTGATGAGTTTTTAAGTTCTTAAATTTATTTTAATAGGAATATAATATATAAATAATTAATTAATATATATATTCTATTCATCTAAGAATAAGTTTATATGTTTTAAAATTTCTAATAATGATATTATAATTAGAATACTTTCTTCTAAAGTTTTTATAAATAAATAAAGAAAAGTACATTGAGATATTCAAAGAAAATTAAATAATAAAGGAAAGCCAATTCAAATGATAGTATCCAAATAAATAACTTGCAACATGCAAATTGAGGATGTCAAAAAAATAATTCACTTTTTTAAATGAATAATAAAATATATTATAACTTTTTTTTTTTAATTATGCAAAGGAAGTATAAGAAAAAGTAAATCATCACATATTCCTTAAATATCAATCATGTTTTGCCTAGTCAACAATACATTGTGGGAGGGTGCATTTTTTAATTTAATTAATAAAGAATTTGTAAGTAATTTATTTAATAATTTTTTTGAAAGTTATTGTTAATATTCTTAATTAAAAAATTATTACATCAATTTTATATATCATGCAATATCTAGCCTTTTTGACACTCATCATGTCATACCCTTTTGAGTTCACATGCACTATGATCCATGCACCATAGGATTTATATCTTAAACATAGGTTGTATATAGGCCTCTTCTTTTTGTTGTAAGTTTAGGATATATCCATCTCTTTTTCCTTAAGGAATGGTGCCCTTTACACTGATAGGGCGAATTAGATGGCATTCCTTACTCATGGAAGATGTATGTCTAAGCTTCTATCTTCTCTACTATATTGAGAAGATAGTTGGGCTTTTATGGTCACACATGACCAAGTTATAAGTACCATTTTAATATCTACTTTATCATATTGAGGATATATATGGTTAGGCTTGCTTAATCCCACTCAATCGAATTGTAATTCAAATTCCTTGGATGTCTGATCCACTATATTGATGAGATATTCATGATTCTCATCATAATTTGATGTCTTATTAACCACATTGAAAATATATTTAGGCTTTTATTGGTTACACATGACAAGTTGTAGGTCCAATTTTTGATATCTCCTTTAAAATATTGAGAAAGTGCATGAGCTTGTTTAGTTATATGCTAATAAATTATAAGCCATATTTTGACATCACCTCTATCACACTAAGGAGATTTGTCCCACATGACCAAATTGTAAGTCACGTTTCTTAGATGTTTTCTCTACTACAGTGAAGAGATGTCTGGATCTTCCATATCCATCTCATCTTCTCTATTATATTAAGGAGATATTCAGACATTTTAAACCCCACAAAATTGAGTTATAAGACCAATTTAGGTTGTTGTCTCCGCCATATAGAGAGATACCTTCCTTTCTTATCCATTAACCTTAGAGCCTAGGTAGTATTATCAGCCTTGGCATATACCATCACACAAAGTCCAACTTAGGTTTCTCCCACATATCATAACGAAGTGTAATTTCTATCTCTTAACGTAAGACTAGGCCCACCTGCTTAGTTTATTAGATCCTTTGAATAAGGTAACCAATGAT